ATACAGTATTACAGTATACAGTAGTATTAATTCATCGTTTTTCCGAGGGTAATAATCCCCTTTTAAAAATACTGTAATAATAATAAAACAATAACATCAACAATAATTTGGTCACTCAATCCACGACTGGTTTGTGGGGCATTGCTGTGCGCAATCGTCTGCCGCGTTTCGCCCACAAAATACACAGTCACTACACTTTACCGTTATATTCTGTGAAGCGCTTGAGACCTCTCGAAGACGTGCTATATCAAATGCAAGAATTATTATTATTATTATTTTGGAAGTGCGAATCATAGGAGGGTGGATTAAACCCGGGGAGAAACAACACCAGTCTGACACACGGTCCCAAACTCCTTTTGCAGATGAATGAAACATAAAGAAATCGCTCGGTTTTACTTGCACTCCGTTAAAATATTTTTTTTAAAAAACGCGCACTTCTTCAAACTATTTTTAAATAAACAATTTTTTTAAAAAAATATTTCAAAACAACATCCGCGTTTAGCCCACAAAACACGGTCACTCCACTTCACAGTATATTCTGCGAAGCCTTTTGAGACGTCTCAACAGCCCGAAGATGTGCTGTATCAAATGCAAAGATTATTATTATTATTATTATTATTATTATTTTGCGATAGTATTCCCAACTCGTTCGAATACGTTTGCGTTAAAGGTGTCAATTTTTACCCTTCGAAAACTAAAGGTCAGCATGTTGATATTGTTAAGCCCAATGGCTCATTAAACACCAAACACCCAGGGAGTATTTAAAGGGAATAATTCTTGGAGGAGAGCTGGATAAATGGAGTGTGATTTGGAGGATTTAGAGGAGGCGGTTTCGTTGTGTTAATGTATTTATTTGCAGTCAGTTCGTTAACGATTGTCCTCTCCAAATGTCACTGGGGGAGGAGAGGTATCAGAGAGGCACAGGGAGAGGGGGTGACACACACACACACACACAGGGGGGGAGAGAGACACACGGGGTGGGTGGGGGGGAGAGAGAGATAGACTCGCACACACACACACACACACACACACACGGGGAAGAGACAGAAACGCACATACACACGCAGTAGACACACACACACACACACACAACGGGGGGGGGGGGGGGGGAGAGAGTGACACACAAACACATACATACACACACACAGAGGGGGGGTGGGGGGGTGGGGGGAGACACACACACAGAAAGCGGGAGAGAGAGAGCTACTGAAAGAGGGGGAGGGAGGACACACACAGAGACAGGGGTGGAGAGAGCCACAGAGAGAGGAAGAGAGAGTGAGAGAGCCACAGAGAAACCCAGAGAGAGGGAGAGAGAGAGAGAGAGAGAGAGAGAAAGTGAAAGAGAGCAATGTGAAATTGGGATTGACAGCTCAGGTTTAGACCCGGCACTGCAGTGTGTGTTTGCCTCCCAGCGCACATGCAAATCACATTATTCAAAATCTGTCATTCAAATATCACTAACTCTCCCTGAATTGCCATTTAGGAGGGGTTTTATATACAGTATATATATATATTGATTTAGTTGGGGTTTATATATACATAAACATACGTGACACTGAAGCTTTTTTATATTGTATATTATATATTCTGGGGGTTATATCTATATTATACATACATATCATATATTGATTTAGATAGTGATCTATTTGTTTTAATATATTATATATTTAGGAGTATACACCGTTTTTATGTATTGATTTATATAGTGATTTAATTGTTTATATATAAACACATATATTTCAGTGACGTGTCACTGAAGTTTTCCATGTATTATAGGTAATATACGTTTTTTAAATATATGTATCGATATATATATTGATTTAGATAATGGTTTATTTGTTTTGCCTACGTGTCACTGAAGATTTTTTCATACATATTATACTATATATTTGTAGGGTTTCTTATATATATTGATTTAGAGTGTGATTTATTTGTTATATATATAAAAAACAAATTGATTAAATGGATATATATATATATATATAAATTGACCTATATTCCGCCCCACCGCTGAAGCAATAAACCCTCTAACGGCGAACAGCCCCACATCCCCATAAATCCTATTTATTTTAAGAGAAATATATTTTTTTGTTCAAACTTTTTTTTATTTTAAAACAATCTCTCTCTTCTGGAAGCGGCGGGGTTTGGGGAAGCCGTACGGATCCGGTTTCATTGTAATCAGAGTTTATTTATCATGCAAACGCTGTGTGTGTTAATGCATTGGCCCTAAACCGCGCGGGCTCTGTATTGTGGTAATAATACACTTTACTGTGATCTGTGGAGTTTGTCTATCAAACACGAGGCTTTCTTTCATTCACGTCAGCCGTAGAGACAGAGAGAGAGAGAGACTGTATAACTAGAGAGGTGTGTGTGTACAGAGAGAGAGAGAGAGAGAGAGAGAGAATGAGGCCATCTACCTGGGAATTCATAGCCAATACAGACAGAAACAGCAACAAAAGAATTCAGCACAGGACTGGAAAACAAAACGGATAAAATATATACTTTTTCCTTCCAAAAAGTGTCACAAACTAAAGAAATCACATTGAACTCTCTCTCCCTCTTTCTTTCGAGTCTCAAGGTTTGCATCGCCGCTCTCTCTCTCTCTCTCTCTCTGTCTCTATTTATACAGATATAAAATATATTTCTATAAAATATATTTTTCGTTGCAACCCCCTGCCCCACACCCCCGCGCCTGGTAAATTTCGGTGAAATACCCGCCTCGTTTTAAATAAAACGTGGCATTGTTTCGGCATCACAGAGCCGCTCTCAACACAATGAATATTCACTGCTTTAATTGGGGAAAGAGCGCCTTTAATTTTTTAACACCATTTGCCTTTATTCTTTTACACACCATTTCACATTCATTCCACATCCCCAGTTTGTATTTGGGGGAAGAGGACGACGAGGCTGTGTGTGTGTGTGTGACAGATCAGGGTGTGTAATTATTATACTACTCTCCACTCCAGTAATCTAGAAATCGGGGAGGGTTTATAATATATATATATAATATATATATACGCGCTTTCGATTTCTCTCGGTGAGTGGTTATGGTGAAGGGAAGTGTGACTGACATTCAGGGGCTGAGGAGATGGAGATGGGGAGGGGGTGGGGGTAGTTCTCGCTGTTTCACAAGGGACCCCTTCACCTCTCGCCAGTTTTATTTCCCCAGACACCCCCCCCCCCCCACTCCCCCAATGTTTATTTGTGAAATTGCCAAATCAATATTATCTACCCATTCCCAAAGAAAAAGACAACTTCAAGTTAACACGCGCCTCCCTGGGTATGAATTTATAATAATAATAATAGCAATGATAATAACAATAATCCTTGCATTTGATCCTCGTCTTATCACGTCGTTGAGACGTCTCAAAGCGCTTCACATGATTTGCTGTAAAGTGAATTGATTGTAATTTGATTTCTCTGACAGCAGTTTAGTAAATAAAAGTGACATCGCTGGAAAATATTATACGGTTAAAAAAAAAGAAAGTACTAGAATAATCAAATACTATGAGGGAGAAGGGTGCTTAAATGTAACCTTTATACATAAACAGTTTTATATGAGAAGCCATGGATGTGGGAGTTTTTCCCGGTGATTCAGTCGAACATTTTGACTGTAAATTTCCACTTAATGCCCAGGTTTGTTTCTCTGTCGCAGTAAAGTCTAGTTTCGTGCCGCTTTTCTAAATTTATTTTAAAAACAATGCCACAAATTATTTTGACTTTTACTCATATTATTTTACTCGTACTTCATATGCAATAAAACGCTTTTAAAATTAAACCCCCGGTGAGTTGAGGGTAACCGAGCAATACTGCATCTTTCACTTGGGAGGGGGGGAAAAAAACATCTTGATTTGGGGAGTTGAATATTGCATGTTAATAAGGCGAAGGGGATTAGCAGGAAGCAAATGGTGATAAATTAACTTTAGCAGAAGCCGATCATAAACAGAACAAAATTGGTAAAATTGATCACATTTATTTCCCACAACAGCGCTGCACATCAGCTGTGTCTAACGATTGCAACTGACTGGGGATTGTGTGGTGTGAACACGGGTTTGTGTGTGCGTGTGTACACGGTTATGTGTTTGTGTGTACACGGAGATGCGCGCGTGTGTGTGTGTGTGCGGAGATGGGTGTGTGTATATGGGGATATCAATCCGTATCAATAACTAACCTTGTGTATTAAACGTGCGTGATTATTGAAATATAGGTTGCAAAACACGTACTGTGTATGTACATGTACATATTGTGAGCGAGCTGCGCGTGTATACTGGCGAGTGTGCATTTGTGAGTGTTTCTATATTTGTTAGAAGTGTTTATGGCGATGAGGGCATTCATGTACAATATGGTTTCGTTTAGAAGTATTAGTGTGTATATATATCTGACTGCGTGGCTGTGTTGATGAGTGTGGGTTGTACACGAATATATTTTGAACGTGTTGTGTACACGATTATTGTGTGTGTGTGTGTGTGTGTGTGTGTGTGTGCGCGCGCGGTCGGTGTGTATATTAGTGTGATTTTACGGATATGAGTGTGGCTGTGTGTCTGCGAGAGCGATTGGTGTTTACGAGTTACATTTTACGCGCGTTGTGTTTCAGGACATGAGTGCGTTTGAGTGCAGTTGTGCGCAGGCACGAATGGTGACTCCGTAAATGTGCGGGTTGTGAGTGTGCAGCTGTGCATATTTTGTGAGCGGGTTGTGCAGAGGTGAGTGTGCGTTGGGGGGGGGGGGCAGAATTTCTTATCGGGAGTGCAACTGTGAGATTGGGTGATGTTTACGTGGTGCTTGATGGCAAGCATCAACACGCAGCCTCGACTCTCTCTTGACACGAACAAAAGCTCACCTGAAGCTGATTCAAATAATACACAGAGACAGGAGTCGGCGACAGACTGGAGGGTGGAATAGATTGGGGTGTTGGGGGGGGGGGGGGGGGTGGGGGGAGAGAGAGAGAGAGAGAGAGAAATCAGGGAAGTTTCTGAGACTTTACGCTAAGAGGCACTCACCCAGGAGAGAGGAGAGGGAAGCGGAACTCTGAGCCGAGGCTTGGAGACTTCCTTCCATTTTCAACCCGTCCAACATGATCCCGGGGAGAAGTTGTACCTAAAAGGCAGAGTGAGTATCGTGGTCAACTTGGCCGCTCCTTACACACTCTCTCTCTCTCTCTCTATCTATCTCTCTGTGTGTTTGTGTCTCTCTCTCTCTGGGAGGATAGAAACACACACACACACACACACACACTGGGCTCCACTTGAAGCAAACGCCGCTTCCCGACTGGTGGTGACCCGCTCGGCTCATGGAGAGGAGAGTGAGAGCAGACTTGCTCTCCCCCCTCCCCACCCTCCCCCGCCCCCCCATACACACACACACACACACACACACAGCCCCAAGGTGTCCAGACCAGCAGATCCCTTTCTGAAGGCACCGTTGAACCCTCACAGACAGAGAGATTCGCTAAAATCAGAGAGGTGCAACTAAACTAGTCTGTTTCACACTCACACGAAAAAAAAACGAAAACAAAAAAACCCCATAAATTTGTAAAATCGTAATTTTCCCCCCAAAGAAAACCAGCCCAGCGCGGAACTGTTGCAAAATGCAACCGGGATTCGTACCGACCTCACTCGGTCCAAATTGCCAATCGAAGAAATTGTCATTAAAAGTTTTTAAAAAAAAGCTATTTATTTTAATCCGAGTCTATTTTTTTTAACATCTATCTGTTGGTCAAAACGCCACGTGTTAATGAATGTATTCATTTATCGTCTCCGCCGCCGAGGGAGGAACATTGATGGATAACGCCAAAGATTGAACACGTTTATTCAGTTGCGATTCGTGTTGGTTTTAATAAAATAAATATAAATAAAAACCGACTGAGATGATCCAGAATGAAAACAAATCGTGTGTGAATGAATGAATGAATTATTTCCCAAATCGGGAGCGGAATCAATGATTTATTTGGAACAACCCCTCTGCTCCGGCGAACAAGACATTATTGTTAAAGAGCTCCTACTTGAACCATGAACTTGGATTCCCTGTTACTTTGCTAACACATCCCTGATCCCGGGAATGATCCCGCTTTCCCACCCGTTCCCGGCACATCTATCTCCCTGAGAGTTTTCCACTCGCATCAGTAAGTTTAACATTGTAAACTTTTCGCCAAATCTCGGTTTGTGTCCACTCTTTTATGCCGCCCGCCCGCCCACACACAGTGTACAGTATTTTGCATTATGTATATATATATGTTAAAGTCAGCTTTATCAATAAAAAGCGTTATTTTAAATCGTTCTTTTAATGGTATTTCGTTTCAATTAATTGTTCAGAAATGAAAGTTGGGACTCCGCGTGTGTTCCGTGTCCCGTTTCTGCTAATATCGCCGTGAATTTAGTACAGTGACAACAGCTTTTCACACTGCTGTTCTCTACTCTCACACATGCACATTGCCCACTCAGACACACACATTGCCCACACAGACACACACACACATTGCCCACACAGACACACACATTGCCCACACAGACACACACATTGCCCACACAGACACACATACACATTGCCCACACAGACACATACACACATTGCCCACACAGACACACACATTGCCCACACAGACACACACATTGCCCACACAGACACACACATTGCCCACACAGACACATACACATTGCCCACACAGACACACACACATTGCCCACACAGACACACACACACATTGCCCACACAGACACACACATTGCCCACACAGACACATACACACATTGCCCACACAGACACACACATTGCCCACACAGACACACACACATTGCCCACACAGACACACACACATTGCCCACACAGACACACACACACATTGCCCACACAGACACACACATTGCCCACACAGACACACACACACATTGCCCACACAGACACACATTGCCCACACAGACACATACACACATTGCCCACACAGACACACACACATTGCCCACACACACATTGCCCACACAGACACACACACACATTGCCCACACAGACACACACACACATTGCCCACACAGACACACACACACATTGCCCACACAGACACACACACACATTGCCCACACAGACACATTGCCCACACAGACACACACACACATTGCCCACACAGACACACACACACGTTGCCCACACAGACACACATTGCCCACACAGACAGACATTGCCCACACAGACACACATTGCCCACACAGACACACACATATTCCCGAAGCAGACACACATACACACTGACACATACACAAACACACATACACAAACATGCACACACATTGCCACACACTGTCACACACACACAGAGATCAATCTAAAATTTCATCCTGTTTAAGAGATTGCGAGGGGCTGTGACATTTAGTGGCTTCCTACAAAACCACCAGAGTGTGAACTGACATCTCTTATCCCGCATAGTTTTAAAAATGTCTCGAAACTCCCCCCACCCACCCCCCCAAAATATACATATTTAATCAAATCATTTTAAATATATATATTTTAAAAGATATGTGCTAAATGCATCAAGGAGCGTGGCGAATAACCTGCAAACGTGTACACTTTACGAAGTTCCTTTACGAATAAAACATTAAACCCCAGTTAAATACAAATCGTTTAGAGACATTTCTTTCTTTATGATTTCCACAATTTTATTTCGATCAAGAAAGCCACAGGTGTTTTTTTGTGTGTGTGTGTGTGTGTGAGAGAGAGGGGGGGGAGGCTGTTTAAAAAAAACTTGTTAAAAATAAACCACGTTATTAAAAGCACATTTTAGATAAGTACTTGAGACGTGATAAGGCGCTATATCAAATGCAAGGATTATTATTATTATTATATAAAACTTGGAGATTGAGCGACACTGGGACACGAGTTAAGTGTGTGTGAGCTGACAGGAAAACATTTAAATAAAGGAGGTTCCTCTGGAAGTAATTTACAAGGAAAATGTCAGCTTGGTGTTTGTGTGCAAAACAGATACGATTTGGAGGTTAAAAAAAAACTGCCAAAATCAGAATATCGGTCCGTCTGTCTTGTCAGGGACTCTCTGTCTCAAAGTCTGGATAAGGGATCTCTAGTTTTTCCCCTCCCCAATTACACTGCAAAGTATGATTTCAATAGAGAGACACACACACACAGACAGAGCAAAGACAATGTTCAATGTGTTAAGTCTACAATAATAATAATAATAATCCTTGCATTTGATATAGCGCTTTTCACGTCGGGAGGACGTCCCAAAGCGCTTCACAGAACACACAATTGATGGTCAAATTGCAACTCACCCTCGATATCAGTTACTCCCGGCGCTCAATGAATGGACAGAGTTAGCATATCTGCATCTGTTTCCAAACCGACCTCACCACCCTGGGTTTCTCGCTCTCGGATCAATCCCAGTGCAGGTACATCTCTCCCAGAGCCGATTCCCAGATTCCCACTGCCAGTCGCAGGCTGGTAGATAGGCTCACTCTCTGTTCTGGGGAGGTGGGTATATAAAAAAAATCCAAGTAGTGTATGTCAAGTCTAATAACTCCAATACTTGCACACTCCCTGTGTACTGTCGGCAGAGACTCACTCTCCTGATACCCTCTCTCTCTCCCTCTCTCTCTCTCTGTGGCAAGTCACAATCTGATCCCGACTCCCAGACTGCCTTGTCCTGGTGGGTTTTTTTTTTAGATTGTCCCCTCCCAGAACCCAAACTTCCCCCTTCCCCTTCCCCCTCTCACACACACACACACACACACCACCACACACACCACACACACGCACAGGGAATCACACACCTTCTGCTTCTGTCATATGGGAAGTTAGCGCTGTTGGATTGTTCCGCGCCGGTCACAGGGCAGAGGCACTGGGCGGAGGAACAGCTGGCTGTCAGCTGGTGCAAAATAGTCCCAGGGACCAAACCAAACCAAACACAAAATAAAACATCGACTCTGCACGGAAATCAGAGGGAAACTCGTTGCTCGCTCAGGTCCAGGATGAAATTACAGTCACAACCCGCTCAAACTGACGCCAGGTATTTGCACGCTCTGAGGCTCTGAGTGATTTATCATTGCAGATGTTTTTAGGTGTTGTAATGTGTGAAGTGACTTCAACGCCTTCCACCACAATTTATTTGGTCGCCGTTTCCCCCCAATACAATGCCGATCATTTGGTCACTCAATCCGCAACTCGTTTGCGGGGCACTGCTGTGCGCAATTGGCTGCCGCGTTTCGCCCACAAAATACGCAGTGAATCCGCTTTACAGCATATTCTGTGAAGCGCTTCGAGATACCCCAACGACGTGACAAGGCGCTACATCAAGTGCAAGGATTATAATTATTCGTATTTAATTTCAGCGGGTGTCAGGTCACTTTTAAACACTTCAAACCTAATGGAAAAGTAAGTGTGCAAAAGGGGGCTCACTCACTGACTCACTGTTTGACTAGTTTCACACTCTCTCACACCCAAAACCAAGGAAATTACGTTACTGGCCTTTCTTCTGAACCTTTTGTTAAAATAATAAACTATTATTGAGAGCCCCCCCCCCATTAGATTCAGTGAATGTGTGTAAAATCTGAGTAGCCATTTACCGCGTTGCTACCTCTTATTCTAACGTGTTTTCGTTGGAATGATTATATCTCCGTCCCTACTCTTCCCCTTCCTCGTTCCCCTTTTCCTTGCCCTTCATCCTCTCTTCCTTTCCCTTCATCGAATTCCCTTGGACCTTGCTCCTGACTCCCAACACCCTCTCACCATCGATCTCAAAGCCTTCCCTCGCACTCCTGTCCCCACAATCTCTCTAAATAGTCATCCATCCACCCATCTGGCTCTCTACCCCTCTGGTCGCGCTCTCTATATATACCCCTCACACCTTGTCTCCCTCGGTCTCTATATCTCTGTTGTTATATCTCTCTCTATGTATCTCTCATTCTCTACATCCCTCATCTCTACCTCTCGTTCCAGCTTCTCTCTCTCTCTCTCCCCACTCTTTCCAACCTCTCTCTCTCTCCCTTCCTCTCTTTCTAACCACCACCCCCTCTCTCTCTCTCTCTTTCTCTTTCAATCTGTGTCCCTCCCACACGCTCTGTGATCTCCATATTCACCAGGTTCTCTATTTTACTGTCAAGCTCAGTTCGATGGGGGATTTGAAAGTCGTTTTGCAGCTTCAGCCCTTAGCAGTAGGTTAGCCCAAACCCCCACCACACGATGAGTTAGTGACTCTCAGAGCTCAGAGCCTGGTGCCTGGTTATCACCTGTGTGACTGGTGCCCAAAGGCACGGAACTCGCTTCGCACTCCCCGGGCACTGTGCTAAGCTCCAGAGGGGTTTCCTGAACCCTTTCCCAGTCTCTCTCTCTCTCTCTCTCTCTCTCTCTCTCTCTCTCTATCCAGCCAGTAGGGGCTGAATGCGGGACTGGGAGGAAATAACAGTTGGGAATCCAGGAAAAAAAGTATATATACTTTACCCAACCACTGAAAAGATCCAACAGCCACTGATGCGCGGAACTTTTAACTTTTATATCTCTTTCTCTCTAATGTCCTGACAGTTTGTTTAACTACACTTGCGACATTTGAAGAGAGGCAATTTCTCTCCCGAATTTCTGTCCAAAATACGCACCTCCATTCGTCCACAGCACTCCCCCCCCCCCCCCCCACTCTCCTGGAGGAAATATCCCCCAACTCAGACCCCTCTACACTTTACAATATATATTTAAAAAGAGACGAGCACAGGCCCCCAAAACAACCACAAATAATAATACAAAAATCTACATTTTGAACAAAAAATTATATGGGGAAGGGTAGGGGGGATTGCATTTATTTTCAATGAATACGCGCATTGAACAAGTTCTTCTCTTGTACAGGGATCAGATGGCGTGAGGCTTGAGTCTGGGCCGAGGAGTTGGGGTTAGAATTGGGGGGTTGGGGCTGGGTGGTGAGGCTTGTAGGCTGGGGCTCGGGGGTTGAGGACTGGGGCTCGGGGTTGGTGGCTGTGGAGTTGGGGTTGGGGGTTGGTGGTTGGGGATTGAGGAGTTTGGGTTGGAGCTGGGGTTGGGAATGAGGTTGGGGCTGGGCTTGGTGTTTGGGCCTGGGGTTTGAGTTGGGGTTGGGGGTTGGGATTGGGTGTTGGGGATTGAGGAGTTTGGGTTGGAGCCGGGGTTGGGGATGAGGTTGGGGCTGGGGTTTGAGTTGGGGTTGGGAGTTGGTGGTTGGGATTGGGTGTTGGGGATTGAGGAGTTTGGGTTGGAGCCGGGGTTGGGGATGAGGTTGGGGCTGGGCCTGGGGTTTGAGTTGGGGTTGGGGGTTGGGGTGTTGAGTTTGGGGCTGAGTTTGGGGGTTGGGGTTCCGCTTGGGGAGTCTTTGTGGAGACCAGGACTGGCGGTGCCGCCTCTGTTCCCAAACACTACACCCCACAGACTCTCCTCTCAGCTCCCCCTGTCCCCTGACTGCCTCGGGTCAGCCGCGAAAAATGAGTGACAGCATTTCCACGCAGCGACTAACAAAAGCAGTCAGGAGCTGTACATGTCATTACCAGGTGACGGTGTGGCTGGTTTGACTCTGAATGAACCTCACTCAGACAGTGACCTGTGTCCTGCAAACAGCGGCTGTCTTGACACACGGGCAATATTACACTGTGTGAGAAATGATGGCACATTAGCGCTGACAATTTCACTGTTACAGTGTGTGTTGTGTGTGTGTCTCTGCACAGTGACAACGTGGAATCGTTTCAGACGGGGTGGTTATACAATAACAACTTGATACATTCTCTCTCTATGTATATATGTATATATAGGGATGTAATATATGTCAAATAATATAGGGAATAGATTTATCTATATACCGGATGATTGAGAATGTAATAGTGTAATGGTTATATGCGTTGGGAGTGTTTTATATGGATTTATATAAATGTAAGGAATGTAATGTGTTTATAGAGGGAAGGCAATGTGTGAGATGCTGTTTATGTAAATGGCGTTCTCTGGTGTACGGTAGATTATACACAGATGAAATTAGCAATTTCATGTGTTTATATGAACATAGAGAACACAATATATGTCATGTGTATATAGAGGCAATTGGGGATGTCATATCTAGGTACAAAAAGAGAGAATATATATATACATACACAGACTTTATATATATTTATGGATATTTACTTTATTATATAGAGTGCAATCGTGATATTCGATTTTATTCTGAATCATATTCTGGATGTGGACCAGGCGTATTACTATTGAATCAATATTACACACCGAGGAGGGAGATATCTACCAAACACGTTCGATTATAGATCGGTTATTGCACGAAAATAGAGCGGATTGTGCGTTCCTACCTTTATGAAATGGGAAGAAGCGGTGATTTGGATTATAATATTACATGGTTTAACGGGAAACGAGGAAGGAAGGGGGGGGGGGGCGGGAGGAGGGGGGGGGGGGGGGTGTTGAGAAAATTACTTCCCCCTAAAATGAATATGTTAAAGGAGTAAAGCACATTTAGCAAAGTCTCACACTCCTCTGCAATCCCGTCACATTGGATTCCAGCAAACAGTGACCTGACTGCTTGGCTATCACCATTATCTCCTTCACAGCCACGCACAGAGATTAATATTTTCTTATCGATTTTTTTTTTGGCTTTTGAATATAATTATCTTTCTTGTTATCTTGGAAGGCATCAGCGGCCGCTTAGATAATAATGTGATAAGAGCTCATTAGCGCCGGCTTTGCTCGGGGGCAGGTTTTATTGCAAATCTCACTCACTGAAGGCTGTTATTGAGGGTGTGAGGCTGTCCACACACACACACACACACACAGGCTGATACACAGCAGAGAGGGAGAGAGAGAGAGAGAGAGGCGAGGGAACCAGTTCCCAGGCTAATGCCCCCCCCCCCCCCACCACCACCTCCAAAAAAAAAAACACCCCGAAATGTACAACTGGGAGAAAAAGTCGGGGATAATTCGTTAGCAGACAGAAATATCAGTTCGATTTGGGGATTTTTGAAACTAATACAAGTGGACAAAGAAGAGAAAATGAGGTTCATAAATGCAGACTTGCAGTCGGATAAGGCGGATGTGTCTCTTTCTGTGATTTTAAATTAAGTTCTCTTTCTGGGAATGCAATATATATATATGTACAAAGGGGGCGAAGACACGCACATATACACAGGGTGAGCAAAAAAGTCGTGATTTCCTAAACAAATCAAAATATCATAATTTCTTTAAGTCGTATTAGAACATTGTAATGGTATCATGACCCTATATATATGTACACACACACATACACCCACACACATATATATATATATACACACACACACATACAGACTGGGTATTTATTATACTATAGAGAGTGCAAAAGTTATATAAATTAATACCGCTCCTGTCTCTCTTCTTCGCTCACATTCACAGTTGCAATGTTCTTTTTAAACAATATTTAAACTGCACGGATTGTAGCCAACTAAAGCGATGAAAGTCATCGACTGACTTAGTGTGGGGGAG